AGGGGGGGGGCCAGGGGGGGCGTCAGGGGCCCGGGGGGGCCCTTTGGGGGGTCTGTGGGGGGGGGGGGGGCTTTTTGAAAAGGTTCGGAGGGCCCCGGTTGGGGGGGGGGGGGGGGCGTCTTACAGCGACGAAGACTCTGACGACGACCTGCTATTGTGACCCGCTATCCTGGGCTGAGGAGGAGGGGGGGGGTACTCATAGCCGTGCATGCCATAGTCGTTAGGCCATTGACCTGGGGGGTTACAGTATGTACACGTAGGTTCCCTAATGATTGGTGTTCCCTTTGTGGTGAAGGGACCGGGAGCGGGGGCCGGCTGGCCAGTGATTGCGACGGCGAGATTTCGACGAACCGTCTGCGACCGTGTCTGGTGACAGTTGCTCGTGCTGATGGTTGGGGTTGTTTCATGGCTTGGTCTTTGCCTTGAACGGGTGGATATAAAGGGAGGGGGGAAGCGCAGACGATAATTCCGCCTCTCCCCTCCCCCCACCTCACTACCATTGACCTACTGGAATCTTGGTTTGCGGTGTACTTCTGCTTGGTGCTGTTGCGTTTATCGGATAGAAACATCACAGAGGTTTGTAAATGCCCCACACCAGCTTCGCGATCGTACTCCTTTTTGAGGAGGATTTAACCGGGGGTAGGAACTGACGACGGGAAAAAAGAATAAATTTGTATATAGTGGAACACTCGCGACATGCATTGAAGAATGTCAAGGACTTCAGAACATGGATGCGAGTCCTGTTGAGGTCTTTCACGTAGACGCCAAGTCGTTGTACATGGGGGTCCAACAGGGGGGAACTTTTTCTTTTTTCCTTGCCTGCTTGCACCATTCCAGCACCATCATTTTCGCATTCGATTATGTACTACTTCAAACTGAATTTTTTCTACAGCTTCTTCGCGAACGCAATAACCGGTCTAGGCAAAAACAAAGTTCATGGCCAGACATCGGTGGATGCATCGCAGCTGGCGGCTTGCTTCCCACTCCACATCAGCTGATTCCAATTTCCATCTCGCTCCCGTCGCATCTACGTCTTCGCTATGTTTCCTAGGACGTCTCACAACAGAAAACTGCAAAAACCCTGAACGGCCATCACAAGTTCTGTCCGTGCGCGAATGCAAAAGGTAAAGAGCACAACGAACCACCAGGAGCAACAAACCAAAACACTAAATACCACGCAGCCTCTTCGCGACCTGCATGTTCACCTCCAAGTCTAAACGCTACGAAGCATAACGAGGTGGCACCGCTTCGAACTTCACGCCATGGAACCCACAGGAACAAGACGGACCACGCTCCGGAGCGCCCCCGCGCGCGGCATTTTCACAACCAAGCGCAGCAGACAGAAAAAATCCGATCAACGCCTTTCAACTTCGGTAGGGGCGCAGGCAAAAACGGCGTTTTCGACATCCTACACCAACAACCACCGAGCAAACATTTTTCTCATTCTCTCCCCCCAACCCCGGCGCACGGAAATGTCCAGCACTCTGTAGGTGCATTGATGCTACTGCTTCTCCATTTGTCTCCAAAAATGAATAATTTTCTAGGCAAACAGAATTTGTCGCCCGTCACAACTCACATTCACTACGCAGCCCGCTCTGCCTAGGCTACCCGGTGAACTAGAGGAACCATGCAGTTCTAAACAACAGAACGCCAGGTATGGCATCTGGGATGAAGGGTTTACACAACAAACGTATTGACGTGCCAGAGAAGCATGGACAACACAGCAAGGATCGCCCAGCGCCCAGCCAACGCAGCGGCTTGCTCTCGCGCAAACCCGATTTTGCCGATACCCGACTCTTCATGTGCTGCTGCGGCTGCTGCTGCGTACTCTAAAATATACGAATATTCCTATCTAAAGACATCAATACAACACTCACAACGTTAAACCAGTGTTATCTCTCGATTGGTCTCTCCCAACCCAGCTCAATTTCAGTTCGTTTCCAAGTTCGCAGCTTTCTCGTTCTTCCCACACAGACGAAGACCCCATGTCTCTCAACGAAAACAGACACAGCGCGCGAGCTACGACCCACACTCCTGCTCCAAAATGTCCTCGTGCCAGCTCCTACCAACCTGATGGGGTTAAATTACAGCAGGGTGTGTCCACATCCGAAAATCTCGTAGCCGTTGAGGCAATCAATCCTCCTCCGGTTCAACACTGCTATAGAACCCTCTTCAGGCCTTCGCCTTCTTTCCCCTCTTCTTCTTTTGCTGCTTCCTGCTCTTCTTCTGCGGGGTTGTTGGCGCCGCAGCCTCGGGCGCCGCGGGGGCGGCGGGTGCTGCTGCTGCTGCAGGCTTGCTCTCGCTTACGGGGGCCGCCGCCGCCGCCGCCACAGGCGCGGCTTCCTTCTTTACGGGGGCCGGGGCCGCTGCCGCCGCAGGGGCCGGTTTCTTCTCAACGGGAGCCGCCGCCGCGGCAGCTACGGGAGCCGGCTCCGTCTTAGCAGGAGCCGGCGGCGCAGGGGCCGTTTTTTTCTCAACGGGGGCCGCCGCCGCCGCCGCCACGGGAGCCGGTTCCTTCTTAGCAGGAGCCGGCGGCGCAGGGGCCGGTTTCTTCTCAACGGGAGCCGGCTTAGCGGGAGCGGGTGCGGCCGCCACGGGCTCCGGTGCTTTCTTCTCGGGCTGAATCGGGTACACACGTCATACGAACGAACAACGGACAGTGGAGGGGGGGGCGGGGGGGGGCATGATGAGTCGTGGTTGAAGTCACGTGTTGTGAGACCTTCTTATCAAAATCACTAATGTACGTACCACGACAAGAATCGCTTTCACTACAACATGGAACGCCGGGCGGACATGGCGAGGAACGCCGCGGACCATAATGGGTGGTGCGAATTTTTCATCACCAGGTCTCGCCGGTATTCTGGGCTTGCTTTTCCAGAGCAGTTTGATTTTTTTAGAAAGTATGCATACCTAACAGAAAGACCGGAAGTTTTGTTTGAAGTGGGACAAAAAGCTTGTACGGCCGCCCCTAGCATTGCGCTCTCTCACGGAGTCATGTAAAACGAGTGCGGTCGCTCTCACCATTCTCTCTAGCCTTTCCAATACGGTTCCCGTTCTAATACGGTTCCCGTCCACCGCCGTTCGCGGTTCCTCATATACCACTCATCCCTCCCTTCTCTGTGCGTCTCTTTTCCCACGCATGGAGCTTTCCCGCCACTCTTTCGAACACGCCAAGAATGTTTCCTCTCGAACTTTATTACTCTAGCCCGTGTTCCCAATACCCCATCAATACTCCTCGGAAAATTAAAGCTAATCATTTATCCGCGAGGAGCAATGGGCTCTTGCTCTTCGTACATTTCGCGGAGCTCCCTTGCCCTCTCTTGCTTTGTTTCCTTGTGGTGTTCTTGGAATATTGTTGTGTAATCGCGACTTGTTGGGCTTCCTGTTGAGTCTTCGACTGTCATTACTCCTACCTCATCTCTTGTAAGCTTGTCGCCGCGGAGTTTTCAAGATAGTAGGCAAGAGTATGGAAAAGAAAGTGCTGCACAGACGGAGGTCAAACTGTTGTGCGATCTGTTGTCGAATGATACAATCCCCCTTGCCACGATTCCATCGACTGGTGCTAGCAGACGGAAAGCGCAGCATGTTCAACACATATCGTTCCTGTTGTTTCAGAATCGTGTGGTTACCACCAAGAAAGGGAGAGCACCACCGCCCGGCGAGAAAACGGGTTCGGTTTTCTGGGCAATATCAACGCGAATTCGTCTTGTTGAGAAACTGTGAACCATCCAAGAGGCAAGGCCGTCAAGTGTAAGGAGGAGGGCATGGTAAATCTTAACACCAAACTTTGTTGGTACGACGGATGCGAGAAATCTGATCAGGCACGAGTCAACGGCAAGGAGCCGGGCATGGTAGACGTGAACGCCAAGCTTTGAGAGTTCGACGGTTGCGAGAAAGCTGATTCTGAAACGTCGTACTCACAATTCTTGGCATTCAGATTCACCAAGCCCTCCTCCTTTCTGATTAAATCAGCTTTCTCGCATCCGTCGTACCCACAAAGCTTGGTGTTCAGATTACGCCATGCTCTCCTCCTTACACTTGACTGCCTTCGACTGCTGTAGACGCATACGTTAGGTCGCGACGGTAATATCGAAAAAAGGCATGACTGCCAAGTGCAAGGAGGACGGTATGGTCAACCTGAACACCAAGCTTTGTGAGTAGCACACGGCGGATGAGAGAAATCATCTTTCTCGCATCCGTCGTCCTCACCAAGCTTGGTGTTCAGACTGGCCATACCATATCCGCCTCCTTGTGCTTGACGTCTCTTGCCTTTTCGATATTACCATCGCGACCTATGCATCTACAGCGGTCGTCAAGCTGTAGAAGTTGAGAGAGGATTTCCGCAAGAAAGGGGCCTCGACTAGGAGGTCACCTCTATTAGAGTTTTGTGTATTCTTTGCCCCCTCCCCACGAAAAAGCTTAAGGCTACTATTCGCACAGGCCGTTCGTCTCGCGTAGCGCGAACCAACTCTGTTGGGACATATAAACCAAACCTGCAAGATGGGGGCGCAGAGCGTACAGCAGTAGTATCCCATCAACGGCGGGCGAAAGTGTACCAGGAAAACGGTGTGTGCCGCAGAAGTGGCCTACCACTTTGCTGTAGGTACGAAGTAGAGAGAGGGTAGAGAGAGGGAGAAACCCTTTTGAGTGCCCGCAGTTTTCCTTTTGGTCAACACTGGCGCCGCCCATGTTATGTAAAAATACTTCCAAGTACTTCGTAATAGTTGTAATGACAGCAGTTGCTGTCTCCCACTATAGAAAGGGTTCTGACTTCACCCGACATCTCCCAAACACCACGGACATTCATATCTTGTAGACAAAGCAATCCCCCACCTAAGTGGCATAATCGAAAGCAGGTTACATCCACGCATACTGAAGTAACACTTCTCAACGGGCTATTTGTCGAAGGCTTGCTTGATCGCTCGAGAGCCACATAATATCTGCCAAAACGACACGCGCCCTTGGGGGTTAGCTCTCCATGATTTTGTAAATGGTAAGCGACGTCGCCACAAATCGACGTTCTGATCTCAATGAGGACGCTCTGTATCCTACTGCGGCACCACAGACTTGGAAAACCGTCCCGAACAGAGGTACCGTGTACCACACGGCAGATCGATCACGATGGAGGCCCAACCCACACTCTAACCGCGCTTCTGCGGTTCCATGCGTTGCATCTTGCCAATATTCTCCCTTGTCCCCTAACCTAGATATAGTCTAGACAATCCAGATATGTTCACCGCCTTGGTTCTCCCGCAGAAGAGAAATGTATCCACGGACATGCATGCTTCGCCCTTCACCCGTCAATACAGCACACGGAACCCACTGTTTTTTAGCTACCTGTCGGTAAAAGCTTCTCACTTGAGCCGTACGTGGGTGGTTGAAGGTAAACACGAACACGGGATACTGAATGAGGCCGCCGCCTGCTGGTGCCATACACCCACCAACGAGTGCGTCCACTATATTGAGCGAGCACTAACGTCGATTCGGGTAAGGACAGCGTTAAACAGAACTCTCACGGCGGGCAATTTGTGTGGAGTGTACGCTTCACGGCAGCTACTGCTGTGCCATGCAGAGCTTTCATTCATACAGCAGTAGTAGACTCCAGCAATGGGAAACTGGTCTTCGACTCCTGTAGAGCCCGCCCTTCCTTCGAAATTCAACGAAAATCCGCCTAAATAGCGCAAATCAGAGGGAGGGCCATCGTTTCCCGTCTCGCCTCTTGAAAGTAAAAGCACCACGCCATTATTGTGTGCTGCTGCTGTGAATACACACCGGCTGCTGGATATATTGCCGGGGAGATTTGTATGCATACGACAGAAGGAGGAAGGAGAGAAGGAGACAGCTTTCATCGAACGTCAGCGAAAAAAAGTCTTGGGAAAAATGAAAAATGGCGTAAACGTAAATCGCGGTCCGCAGCGGGGAAAATGCGCAGCAGCACAAGCAGGTCGAAAACGCGGACACAAGCAGGCCGAACACGCGGAGGTCATCAGCCCCCTAATGGCCTAAAGAGAGGTCGAACACGAGGAGTTCTTCCCCTCCCATACCTACCGGCATTACAGCGTAGCGCGTACCACACGGCAGCAAGTGCAAACCAAAGGCACGATCCGTTGAAGTTCCATATTTTCAAAACATGTCGTACACATCTACAGCAGCAGTACCCACCTTCTTCGCAACCGGAGGAGCCGCCGCCGCAGCAGGAGCAGCCGCCGCCCCCTCCTCAATCTCTTCCCCTCTCATTATGGCGATCTTCCTCAAGAGTTCGTCCACGCCGCCGGACTCCAAGAGGGCTGCCCGGGCATCCTCGCGCTGCTGGAGAGCTTCTGCCGTCGGGTTCGCTCTTATCCTTGATTCCGGACGGGCGACGTTCCCCCCCCGCCCCCCGAGCGATGTCGCCGCGGGCACAATAACGAAGGCATTGTGGCCCCAGGGAAGGAGGGCCGCGGCGGCGAGGGAGAAAAGCGGAGTCATGGTTGTCTTCATGGCTTCAACGAAGTGCGAGCATGCGTGTGGCTCGATATATGGAAGGATCGCCTCAAGATAAAAAAAAATCGTAGATCGGATGCGGGGAAAAAAAAAACGTAGATCGCACGCGGGGTATTGGGTTTTCGTAGAACGCACAGAGATTGATGGATTGATGGATCGATGGTTTCATGTTTGAATTCTCCCGCTGTTTTGCGCGCCGGAGGATGCGTTGGTCAACCAGCAACGACGAGAGAGCAAGAGAGGAAGCGGGAGAAAAGGGAGGCCTGGAGATAGACAGATTTAGTGAGCGACTACCGAGCGCAGATGAGTATCAGCGACGGCGCATGAGAGACGAGAGCGAGTGCGAGACTCTCGTGTCAACCGAGGTGAGACACACCCCGACAGCAGGATCATGTCGTCGGTATCTCCGGTATCGAGCGTAGCTCCCGGCAGTAGCATCGCTCCCAGCGTGGGGAGCATCGAGCCCGCACCGACACGGAAGAAGCGGACGATCGCTGTAGTTCGCAAGCGTGGGGACCGCCGCCTACCCGGCTCTAGCGAAGAGGAAAATGGTGGCGTGCCACCAACGTCGCCGAAGAAAAAGACGCTGTTGGTTGCGCGCCGACCTCGAGCGAGCGAGGGACGGCTGTTTGAGCACGAGGCAGCGCCGCATCGCCATGCAGCCGCACCCGGTACCATGCCCGGAGACCGGGTGGTCGGGGGAGGGGCGTATGGTCACGGCGGCGGTCAGTTTCCTTCGTCGATGGTGGTAGGGAAGCTGCAGTGGCGCCCGGACGGACGCGTGCTCGACAAGAGCGTGCTCGGCACAGCCGAGGCCTTCGAAGAGGTGAGTATATCAACACGGGTGTATCCACGGGCTGTAAGTAAAGACTTGACGCCAAACACCTTGTGAGAAGTGCATTGAGTGACAACTGGGGTTCTACTTTCCAAACAACAACCTTGACAGTTTTGCGAGTGCCGTGATCATTCATCTACATGTAGGCCGTGGTTTCGCGAGTTGCAGGCATGCATATCACGTGTGTGATTTTCAGGCGAGAAATTGTTACAGGTCTTTCTGCACTACCCATAGGCACAATCCATAGACTCTTGGAGGCTCTACCAACACCGTGCTATCCTACTGGTGTTGTTGCCCATTCGCGCAGATGGACGCCCAGCTGGGGTGGGTAGATCGCCCAGGAGGGGCAGAGGAGGACTCCTTGCACCCGCTGCAGGGAACGGATTCGTCCGTGGGCTCGTCGCCTAGCCTGAGGAGCAAGCAAAGTTTTCGGAGCCTGAGAAGCAAGCCAAGTTGTCGGAGCCTGAAGAACAGAGATCGTCAGCCCACCGGAGATCGCGGCGGGAACGGCCGAGGAAGGTTCGGTGAACATCCCCCCCCCAAAAAAAACATTTCCAAATGATCGTGTTGCCACCGGCGTATCTCTGCTGCGTTTAGCCATATAGGTGTCGCTGGAGCAAGCGTTCGTAGGGACTCAAACAGAGCAACAACAAGAACACATCGCTTGAAATACTATCTTGAAGGCGTCGGCAAAATCGCTATTTTGAAATAAGGACGATATATTGAGGGAACTATGCAACGTATTTATACAGCAAGGGTAGACGAGTCACAGGATCACCAACGAGTCGAGAGAAACCACAAGCAAATCTCTCGTGGTGTAAGTTTGATTGCACCGATCACCCCTCAATTCTTTTTGGTCTCGTAGGGCCCGAGTGCCTTAGTAGTCGGCCCTCCTTCTCGTGCGCTCGGCTCTACTACCAACAACAACACCGACCGCCCCACTATGTCTTTTGTCTAACTCCATCCTTCGTTGGCCTGTAAACAGAGCCGCCACCAGCATTACTGCGCTCAATGTACAATCCGCCTATGTAGCTGAATAATGGAACCTCTGTCTGTTTATCTACATGCTGCCACCTAAATAACAATAATCCGGAGTTTCTTGTCGTTTGTGCCCCGACTCTCGCCCCCCCGGCAGCCGCCCGGGGACATCTCCGGACGGTCAGTCGGCCCTGCAGGGAGAGATGGAGAGTTACATGCGCCGCATCTCGGAGGCGGAGGACACCGCGATAAGAAACAGGGCGGCAAGCGCGCGCAAGGTGAGTTGCGGTAGGCGTTGCTGTTGCTGCACCTTCGTAGGATGAAACCACACCGACCCTTCTGAACTGGTTGGCTCGTGGGTACGCCGAGCTAGTTCGTTCCATCAAGGCACCTTGGTCCGTTGCGCGGATAACCAACAGAATTTTCTGCACGGCCGATGCAATACATCCGAGATGGCAAAAGTGTGTATTTCTTTCCCAGTATATTCGTTTCTGTGCCCCCGTGAAGCCCCCTCCCGGATAGAATTAGTCCCTAAGATTCTTAGAACTTGTGGGTGTTTGATGAGTCGTCCTGCGGTGGGGGTTGGGGTCACGCTGGAGGTTACAGATCTCCTTGGTTTGATGGAACGCATCGAGGCCTAGTTTATTGTTTTACCATCGCCGACAGCGTCGGCTTGGGCTTGATTGGGCCTTCGTCATGGGTTTTGGCTCTTGGGTTGAGGGCGTCTGCCGTTCTTCATGTGCAAATTCGCTGTCGTTCGGGCAGGAAGCTAAGCTGATGGATCATGTCGGCCTGACGGAGAAGCTGACTATGCAACGCGAGGGAAACTCGATGCGGCAGTGGAAGCGCAGGCAGCGCGATTGGGACCGCGTGAGCCGGCACATGGCTGCCAAAACGGGGAAGGCAAGCAGCGGCAGAGCTAAACAGTAGTCGCTAGATATCTATTTGCCAAAACATTTGACCCTTTCGGACACCCCCAGTTCGGGCTCGACCATAGATCTACGCCCATGTCATACGAGAACACAACGTCGCCCCTGCAAGGACGCACGGATAAATCGTTTCTGTCAACTTTGGGCTGGTGGGGAGAGTGAGGGGTTGGCACCGATAGTTTAGGAAGAAGTACATACACTTTGTTCGGCATGTTCTTTTCACGAGGTGTATCTTGCGACGGCGACTAGAAATAACTCCTGCGCGGTGTGCTTGTTAACTGCCAGGCGCCGGAAGACTTGGTGATGTCGACGGCGGACGAGTATCGCGAGAGAAGCGAGGAGTACCAGCTCATACACTCCGCCATCCCGACTTACGAAAAGTTCAGCAGCGACGGGTGAGAGAGGAAACAGCATGGAACACTAGTCGCGGTAGGCCACAGACCAAACGCCGGTTCGAGCCAGACTTGGACCGCGACGAAGACCATTGAGCGTTGGCATGTTTCCTATTTGGCGGTCGTTGCTGAGGGGCAAGGGGAAGGGTTGATAGGGCCAACGGCTTCGACAACAGCGGTGCTGCCGTGAACATCGGCGGCAACGAGACGGTGATGAACTTGGCGCCGCCGAAGACATCGAAGAGCGGCAGTTCCAAGGAGAACTCGACAACGGCAACAGTGGCCTTCACGCGTTAACGTCCCTCACGCGTGAACGCGCTGTTCTCATTGCCTTGGTCTCCGTAGAGCTGTTGCTCCTCGTTGCCTTCGGCGGCGCCAAGTTCATCACCGTCTCGGCATTTCCGATAGTGTCGACCCAAGGGGCTCTTTGTCAGGAGAGAACTCCAGTGACGACCCACACGCCACTTGTGGAGACTAAGCCAAACTCGAAGCGTTGGTGCCGATTCCACGCTTCAAACGTCGTTTTTTTGTTAAACTTCTGCCGACAACATAATTGGAAGACGGCTGCACTGCGGCCCTCTTTTTACCATTCGCTTGGCCTGCAACAGCCTGGCTCTCGTGCTTTGTTCGTGGGGATATGTTTTCAGCGATGTAGGATGGCCCTGTTGAGTCACGGATCAAACAAGGACGAACACACGCACTAGGAAACCTCAACCAAGCCTCGTGGACCTACTGTCCCCTCCCCCTCATAGAATAAACCAGATCCGCAGAGATCAGTACGGCAGTTGTCGGGCACTCGTGAGCTTCTTAGGTCTCTAAACTACTCCTGGAGAGACTGTTCCAACCCCAGCATTGTCTTACCACACACACCCTCCTTTCTACCCACGAAGGTACTGGATGATGTCGCTGAGGGGGTTCGGGGAGCGCAGCTGCAACGTCGGCAACATCTTCAGCGGGCTCACGTGCAGCATCAACGACCAGATGGCACCACCTCGCGCCGTCCGGAAGCCCACGGGCCGCCCCGCGGACGCGACGCGCAAGCGAACCTGGCGCAATAGCGAGGCCCTCGCCGCCCGGAAGAGGGAGCTCGCGCCTGTCCTCAGGAGCCTGCGTCCACAGCAGTTCCAGCCCGATGAGACCGGCGGTGAGGCCGAGAGGCGGGGAGGGAGGGAGAGAGAGAGAGAGAGAGAGAGAGAGAGAGAGAGAGAGAGAGAGAGAGAGAGAGAGAGAGAGAGAGAGAGAGAGAAACCGACCGAGGGATGGGGAGAACGCGAAGAAGGAGGGGGGGGATGAGAAGAGAAAGGAAACATTGGGGTCGGAGATTAGGAGGGAGGTTGAGCAAGCGAGAGGGAGAGAAAAACCGACAGAGGGGTGGGGAAAACGTGGGGAGGGAGGGGGAGGATGAGAAGATAGAAAGAGATAGATATTGGGGAGATCGTTCTTGTTGAAACCATCGGAATGTCAGCTTGCTTGGACGTCTCCCAGTCTCGGGGCTGCCTGCCTGCCCCCAAGCCTTCCTGTTAAAGTGTCTACTGTATTGTGTACGGATGGTCCTGACTGCCTATTTGGGTTTTGGTACAGGGTTGGTCGTGCAAGGGGAGGATCTGTTGGAATGGGCCGCACAGTCCAGCCGGCAGTACTTCCAGCTGCGCCACCTACAGGAGTCAGAGGTGTGTGTTTGTATGGTGTGTGTGTTTTTTCAAGTAGCATCGACCGCGCCATCAGTAGTCGATGGAAATAGGTCAGTCTCAGCTGGATAGTAAAACGCTAGAACACCATCTCAATCCGCGGACTTCCCTGACAGGAGGGGGTTCGGGGAACTGTCTCCGTGTTTCTTTTATTGCCATCGATCTCGTTAACAGGTTGACCAACGAAACGACGTCAGCCTTCGACGAATTGCAACACAAAGAACGCGTCCTAGTCTGTCCTGATTTGGTGTTCGATGTGCTGGCAGCCGTTCTTGATATATAGATCCCTCCGCTTGGGAACCCCTCATCGGCCTTGAAGGCAGAAGCCGTCCACAGGCCCTTTTAAGACCGTTCCCACCGCCGGCGCTTCCTGAGCTCTGACGGAGACTTTCCGCCCGCTTGTCGATTTTTTCCTTAAAAACCTCTGTCATCTTGCCGTCGCACGTTCCGGGCGGCGATAGGCCGTGATTACTGGGCTGAACTCGCTTGAGGCGGAATGCCACAGCACCGAGGCGGTGGAACACCTGCTGCTGCCGCTGGGAGGGACGAACGGCGACCGCGCCGACGCGGGTTCGGTCTCGAGGTCTTCCCCTCGACCGGGGCCGGCGATGGAGGCGAGTGAGACAGTGTTCCGGGTTACGTTGTCTCTGCAAATCTTTGGTCCCCCGATCCTCTGCATCCTCGACGATTTCCCGCGGTGATCAACAGTGCGCTAGTCACTCTTCTGCCATCCTCGCCTACGCGTATCCCTCTTGTCCTTTCTAGGGATACCCTCTCGCCTCACGTGCATGGTGGTTTGTTGCTTTCGCCCCGTCCCGCCCCCGCCAACCGCTGTCGCGTCCGTTGGCCGCCGCCCCCCATGTTGTGCAGTCGTTCAATGGCGTACATTTTTCTTCTTTGTTCTGACTCACGGTTGTTTGTTTTTGCAGGTGATCTCCCCGTCTACGCTACTGATCGAGTCCAGCGCGGGGGCGACAGCCCTGAAGCAGGCCACGGTTACCGTTCGAAACACGGGCTCCACCGCGCTCTTCTTCTCTTGGTCGAGGGTTCCCAGGGGAGAGACCATCGTTAGCACCAACGGATCCCCCGTTGGTGGCGGTGGAGAGGGTGTTCCAAGAGGATCGGACGCCGAGGCGGCGGGAGGAGGAGTGGAGACTGAGCAGAATCGGGGGGTGACTTCGACCGCTAACGATAAGGCCGCTGCCGCCGCAGCAGCCAGGCATGCCGCGCTGCAGAACCCGGACGGTCGATTCTTCTGCTCCCAGGTACGTTCATGCGTGGGTAGGTGCAGTAACACCTTGTCTGCAAGCAAGTGTTTTTTTTTCTCTGGTGGAGTGCTGGTCGAAAAGATCTTGAGGTATCTCTTTCACCTTCCCGCAACCACGGTGATTTTGTGCCAAAAACCAATGGTTGGCACTTGTGTCGGCTAGGCGTCTGCCTTAGACGTGGGGGTGCTTTGATATCTGAGAAGCAACGCTCAAATCACCAGCTTTTTCAGTTGAATTTGAATATTTCGTTTTCGGTACGGGCGCTCTCGGGCCAAATCGAGTGCGACGGCCAACTCCCGGCGGTTGTGCGTCCGTAACAATGACATCCTGCATTACCAAGTAGCGTCCACAATATTTTTCCACTCCCATTACAGTTCCGCCACTATCATCGCTTTCACACAACGAATAGCCAGCATTCCTTGAACTCGGGGTGATCACAGAGCAGGATAATTGCGGGTGTGTGCGGTTTTCGAAGACAACTTTCCTGCAACTTTGATAGAAGCAAAATGAAGATTGGATGGCGGTGAGAACTTTTTGCTGTTGGCAATGTTGCTATTTAGCTGAGGATATTTGTTGTGAATCGCAGGCATGCTGTGAAAAACTCATTTCCTTTTCGGCAGACCCAAACCCCTCCTGATGTGAAATAAACGGCCGATCCTGCGTCGCCACCAACATCTCCGTCTCTCCCTTCACTCGACGGACGTTGGACTTTCTTCCGATGGCCCGCATGTCTTACTCATGCTTTCTCACGGAAATCCCGTCGCCCTGCTCTTGTCGATATCCTCCTTTTTCCTTTCCGCATCCATCCACCCCTCACCCCACCAGTTCCCACCAACCCTCTGCTTCCGTCCCCGCCTTTCCCTCCCCCCACTGTTTCCAGTGCTCAGCGCACAAAATCTATCAGAATAAGCCCCCCACAGACGGCGGATAGGCTTACCGCTGCTACTTCCAACGCGTTAGAAGCGCAATACAACAGACAGGGAAACCACCAGCATTCCGGGTGTCTGTCCGAGTTCATTAAGGATTGCTTACAACCTTTCGGTACCCCCCCGGCCCCACGCCCCCCGCCCGCTCCACCGCTCCCCGACCTCACATCACAGGCAACCGGAACATTACTGCCGGGCGAGACGGCGACGACCTCTTTTTCGTTCAAAAGCGCCGACCCAGGCATATTCAGCGACTGTTGGCGCCTTGAGACTGCCCCGCCGGCTGCCTTTGTCTTGTCCGCACCGCCCCTACCGTTGCCGCCGCCGTTAACTACGGCGGCCGATTCCAAGAACGTCCTTCCGAACGACGATCGAAATCTTGTTAGCCAAGCTCAACGGGCCGTCGAAAGCTCCGTCGTGGTTAACTCGGCAAAAACGAGTGACGGCGGCGATGCTGTTGCCGTTCGAGGTCGGAGTAACCAAGACGAAGGGAGGTACGGCGGTGGCGGTGGCGGTGACACGGCGACGGCTTCCAGGGTAACCGGAGGCTCGGTGGCGTCAACCGGCGGGGGGATTGAGGTGGGCTTGAGGGGGGTGGCCCTTGCGCCTGATACGCGGGGGCACGTGAGGAAGAAGCTGTCCCAGGGGGTGATGAGGGGCATTCTCGCGGCAAAGGTGGAGGAAATCGTGAGGGAGGTGGTCCGCGGTGTTCGCACTCCTGTCCGCGAAGAAGAGGTACGCATAGAGGCAGGCGCTTCCTTGCTTTGCTATGTTCGCACAAGCCATGTTCTGCTTCACCTTCACGACTCCTCTGTATTCCTGCCACGAGAAAACAAAAACATTAATCGACAGATCCGCAGGATCATAGCTCGTTCGCGGTATTTTTTTCTTTGTCTTCTTGTCGCCATAATTGTCTCCCCCCATTTCTCTCTCTTCTAGATACGCCGGCGACAACGGGAGGAGTTCCTCTCGATCAACGCGGAGCAAGGCCTGTACTTCACTCCCCGAGTTTACGACGGTTTCATGCTGCTCCTGCAACGAGCCAAGGCAATCGCACTCGCGGCAGAGAGGGGGGACTACAACCCGGACATCAACAGTGGCGACGATACGCCTGGAACGCCTCACGGGGAGGTGGTTCCCGAGGAAGGCGATGACGGTGCAATACAAGGCCTCGACGACGCTATTCTAGCAGGCGCAACGACAACACCAACCGCCGAGGGCAGCAACGATCACGGTCCCGAGAAGAAGGGGGGGCAGGATGGCAACAGCGGCGGCGGAGGAAACGAAGACGGGGAGCGTTCGGAATGCTCGACACGCCCGGCAAGCGCTCTGTCATCGAGCGAAGGCGGCGACGACGATGGCAGCGGTAGCAACGACGGGCAAGACAACGAGGACGACGACGAAGGGGGAAAGGGTGAAGCGAAGGACCCGAGCCACGGGAGCAACGCCGGCGACGTCACGGTCGAGCCGACGGGGGTAGAAGGCCAAGGAAAATCGGCAATGGCGGGAGCAGAGGAAGGAGAGCGGGGAGTAGAGCAAGAGGTGGGAAGGGACGAAGATGGCACGACGAAAGCATTCGCTGAGAAGGACGGCGGTAGTGGTGGTGGTAGTGGCGGTGGAGAAGACCAAGCGAGTGCGGAAAGCCTTCTTCGCGGTATGCTCGAGAGGCTGGACTGCGGAGAGTGGGACGGTGACGTGAATACCGTCCTAGACGCCATCGACGGCCTGACCAGATGGATTCCGGTTCCGCCGCCGCCGCCGCCGCCGCCGCCGTCCGCTGGAATGGACGAAAATGATGGAGTGCCTGCCACTCCCGGAGCAGAAGACTTGGCGGACCCGGATGCAGATGGCACTCGGCGAGGCGATAGAGATGACGAAAGAATGAGTGCGGCTTCTGAGGACGGAGATGATGCAGATGATGACGACGACGAAGAAGAGGAAGAAGAGGAGGAAGAAGAGGAAGATGAAGAAGAAGAGGACGAGGAGGGAGACGAGGACGATGTCGGCGACGATGAGGAGGAGGGGCCGCAGCACCCCGTGTTCGCGGAGCAAAGGGCCCTGACAGCGCAGTGGCGCCGCCTCGTGCTGGATGCACAGCTCGAGCCAGAGACGGACGAGTGCCTCGAGCTCATGCGCGAGACGGTCGGGAACATGGTCGCGGGTATCCCCGGCGCGATGGAACGGGCTCGCCGAGACTCCGCGCTGGTGGCGGGGGGGAAATCAGCGGCAGGTGGAAAATCAGCAGCAGTAGCAGCAACAGCAGCAGATTTGAAAACGCCGCGAGGAGGCGTTCTGGGATTCGACGAGGTGAGTTAACATTCGCTTCGTTAAACCAAGGAGGGTTATAGAGGGTACCCAAAAGGGTACTGTTTCATCGAGGGGTCTGTGATCATTTGTTGTCGGTGACGTCATGGTGTAGACCGGCGTCACAACGCGCGTGGCCAAGCACAATGACCTGCCGTCGTATATTTCGGAACTTTTGCTCTGGGGGTCGGATACCCTTGTTGTACCTGGCGTCGGCACGTTGAGGTAGAAGAAAAAGTTGTCATGTCAAAAATAAAATAACGGGGGATAGGGTTAGGGATAATGTACAAGACGTGAATTTCAATAAACCCTTTAGCGGCTCATGGTTTCGCCAGAACATTACAACCCTTCGCTGTCAACAGTCGTCTGTAGCGTTTTTATCGCCTACTCCCCCTACTCGGAGAGCATACACACCGACCCTCGTTCTTGATTCACCTGTTACAACTCTAGGACTCGATCGCGAACTGGGCCGCGGCGTGCCCGGGCGACGTATCCACACGTGAAACCGACGCCAGAGAGGGCGGACCGCAGGCGCGCGCGGCAGCAGCGGCGAAGGCCGGCAACCCCAAGGCCAGTTTCCTGGCCCTAGCGTACGGCGAGGTGTCTTCCCGAGTCGCCGCCGCCGCCGAGAGCTTCGAGACCAGTTTGTCCGAAGGCGAAGGTGCGCGCAGGGAGGTCGTGGCTGCTGCCCGCCGAGCCGCTGTGCTAGAGGGGCCCGACGGTCTTCTGAGCGGGAGAGATGCGGCCGCCCGCAGCGGCGATGGTACCGGCGGCAGCCGCGGCGGTGCCAGCAGGGGAGACAGCCGTGGTCCGAGATCACCATCACCATCACCACCACCGCCACCGCTCTCTCGGCTGGGCGCTCTCAAGTGGGAAGATGTAGAGGGTAGACGTATTCTCTTGCACGTTGATCTCTCGAAGGGGGTGACGCCGGAAGATGGCACTTACGGGGGTAGCCTCGGCGGGGGGGGTGGCGATGGTATAGGTCACGATGGTACGGACGGCGGCACTGGTCAACAGGAGTTTCCGAAACAGGTGCGGTTGGTGGCAGAACAGGTGCGGGAAGTGCTGTCGGCAAAGCCCGCTGCTGTGGCAATTGTGTCCGAGATGGCTCCGCCTGCTCTCGCCACTGCCGTCGCCCCCGCGACCGCCACCCTCAACATCAATAACTCAGAGGATGTCGACAAGCAGAAAAATTCTTCCCAGAGCCAACCATTGGCGGGACCAGAAACGCAACAACAAGAACAACAACCGTCAGCACAGCACCCTCCCGCCGGTGATCCAACAGCCGCTCAAACGTTGTCGTCGAGTCCCGAGTCTGGCTCCCTCCGTGCCTCCGCCGCCGCGGTGTCGAGTCTTCTCGGCATGGAAGTCGACTTCTATGACACCGTGCCGGAGCTAGCAGCGGCGCTGGAGCGGTGTGCAGCAGCAGGAGGAAGAGGAGGAGGAGGTTTACCAGGCGCCGGTGGCGGGGATGATGTCGGGGCCGGGTCGGACGGCTTGCCGCCGTTCGGGATGGTGCCGCTGATGATGGCCGAGAGGCTGAGCTTACCGGGAGTTGTACCGGCCCCGCCGGTGGATGAACCCGAGCTCAGCGACGGCGAGGAGGAGCGGCTCCCGGACTTCTCGTGGGAAGGCGAAGGTAGGATTAAGAGCGCGATTACGGGAGGGAGCCCGGGACGGCTTCTCTTCAGCCCTTGTTTGAGGTGCCCCGTGGTGTGTGTTTTTTCTCTGGTTGTAGAGGAGGGTGGGGGTTCCTATACCATCGCTTTTAGTGTAGGTCTGGGCCGGGGCGGGGGTGTTCTACGTATCTGCGGGAAAGACAGAGGGGGTTGAGAGATGGGTTGATACGCGCGTATTCATTTTTTCCGTCTATGTGCCTCGGAATTCGTTTTTGAGAGTTCTCGCTTCGTTCGTTGACAAGCGAAGAATGGTGTTGCTGAGGTCACCCAACTCTCTCTCTCTATCTATCTATCTATCTCTCTCTCGCCCAACCCAAAAACACGAATATTGACACGGGCACATACGCACCTGCGCCTGGGGTTTGCAAAGTCCAACGCACACCGAAAGGGACTGCAAGAAACTTGAAGCCAAAAACCGGAAATCCATTTTTGAAAATACGAAATCCCGTCACAACACTGAAACACGAACCAACTCAGAGGCTGAAGCGGCCGCCGAACACGCCAAGGAGATCGAAGCAGCGCGTCTGAAGGTACAGGGTCCCGGGGAAGGAGACCTCGGTGAGCTCCTAGCCGGCGTGGTGGATGTGGCGGTGATGGACGCGCCGAGAGCGTTGTACGAGCCGCGCCGGAAGCTGCCTTGGGGTCCGGTGCCTACGACCGGTCTCACCGTTGCTGGGTCAGGTAAGAGGACCACGGACGGTGGTGCAGGAACCGCTTAATCCTGTTTTTTTTTTTTTGCGTTTTTGCGAGAATCTGGACGATTAAAAAATTATTTTGGCCGCCCTGCCCCGGCAGCAAGGCAGACGTAGAATCTTACCGCTCACGTTCGGTTGACTGATTCGGCAGTTTGCGAACAATTTACATATTTTGGACAACAGCCTAACTTATGCCACGAGAACAGCCGATTAGCTACGCATTGGCTGAACCAAACAAGAACTCCCCCTCCCCAATGCACGCTCTGACAAACAACACCCGAATGTGGACGTGTCCCTGTCTTCCTTCCCTTCGCACAACAAAACCGACCCGTCATTATCTGTTCCTCCTCGTCGTCCTCTACCTCCTTGGACAAAAATGCAGGTGTTCACGGAGATATAACCGCCATGGCGTACCTTACCGAGGCCTCGGACAGGCCTCTTCTGGCAGTAGTCGGCGGAGGTAGCCTCGAACCGCGGCTGAAGCTCATCGACGGCCTCCTGGACCTGGTCGACACTCTCGCAATAGGAGGCGGGTTAGCCGCCACCTTCGTCGCGGCTTCGTCGACTGAGGCAGCAACGGCAAGTGGGTGGAAGGAGGAGGGTGCGGTAGATGCCAGCGGCAGCAGCGGCAACAATACCCAAAGGTTCGTACCCCGTAGGCCGCATCGGTAATTTAGCACCGGGACTCTTTTCTCGTGAGAACACCTGTAACGCCGTCTACCGCCATACGTTTGGTACCCCTGTCGGCGGCACCGCCCCCTTGCCGCCGAACTCGACGAAGCGTCTATTCCCTGCCGCAGGTCTTGGTTCTGAGTAAGAGTGGGGCAGGATGGAGTAAGTTTTGTACCACGGTTTGTGCAGCCGAGACGAAGTGCGATAGCCCCGGCGCCCGCAAGGGCCGATGTGGAGTATGCGGGGTACAGCGTGGGGGGAGAATGGAGTAAACATCTTCTCTGGCGAGACAAAGGGGGATAGGGGATGTAAGAAATCTCCTTGTGGGCTTCGAAAATCCGCGCGGTTTGGGTTCCTTTTTGTTGGGAGGGGGGTTCTCTTGCGAGAGGTGTATATGACCGCACTACGACTATGAGATAGCACTACCGCCTCATCTTGCACAGCGCTTTCTCGCCGAATACTTCGGAAGTGAGGAGCAGATTCAGGAGCCGTGTTTCGGCGTGACGCATGACCAGTCCAAGCACCACCCGCTTGAACAAGCACTGCTTCTCTGACGAATTTTCTTGCGGCAGCACCGCGGAAGCGCAAGAAGCAGAGGCAGCAGCGGATGCAAGAAAACGGCCAAAGGCCAGGAAGAATAGATGGACTGGCAAGGGCACGGCGGGGAAGCCTCGCGATCCCCTCGATGTGGTAGAGGCGGCGAGGAGACTCTTGGTCAAGGCCCGAAAACGAGGGGTAGAGGTAGGACGAAGCTAAAAACAATCGTTGTGGTTGTTTCATTCACTTCAAGTCGAAAACACCTTCCTTACCCACCACCCCTGCCACCCAGTTGAACAAGGACGGGGTGCGCACGATAGCGTAGGTATCGTTACGATCTCTGGTGTTGTGCGTTGCGCGGTTGCATACGGTGGAGCGAATCATCCTGGAGAATCGTGAACGACGTCAAGTGACTATGTTTAGCAGTGACTATTTTGTCATTTGAGTTTTCTTTTACAACTACATTGCGTTGTGGCATTTGACGTGTGTACCAGGTTATTCTTCCGTCGGATTTCGTGGTTGGTGACATCGAGGTAGATGAAAACGGGCCCCTGCCGGGACAATTCCTTTCTGGAGACGCAGGCCCGGACAACGACGACGAAGACAACGACAACAACGACAACGGCAACGATAGTACCGCTGGCAGCGTTGCACCAGGCGGCGAAGGTGCGGGTGCCGACGGGGTTACGGACGTGGCGGCCCTGGACGTGGAGCCGGAAGACGCGGCCATGGGATTCGAGTACGAGGGCGAGGTAAACACGAAGAAGCCGATCGTACGCATGCATCACCTGCGACCGCTTGTGAACATTGAGTCAAAGAGATCGACTCAATACCAATCGTGCCCCCTTCAATCGATGAAGACATGGAACGAAAGGGGTGTGCTTTCATTGAACAGCCGGAACCAAAACTTGGAGTATGCAGTCGCAACGAAAACTGAACAATACACGGGAGGAGACATAGAATAGGCAGAGCGCTTGTTTACTTTCGTTTGGAGCTCTCGGAATGTGTGAGCGCGCCGCGATGTTGTGGTTAGGATCCATTCGTTAGGTGCTGCAGGTGGTGTATTCTTGCTTGTACGGTTTGCTGGTCGGCCCAACGATTCCACCTACCGTAAAAGTGTTAAGTTGTGTAAATACCCGGTTCAATGGTTGTCCAGCCGTGGTAATTGATGAGTACATAGGGAGTGCTATTTACCACCCTAGAGTTGTCGACCCACGCTAACCAACAGCACCTTTCTCTCCTCGCTCTCCCGCGTCTTTTTGCTTCTGCCCTGACGTACTCACCACAGAATCAGACGCTCCGCCTGACAGTCTTGAAATGAACACGTTCTGTGTAGTCCAACAACGTGCGAGGCAGATGTCAAAACATGTCCCCCGCCCCTGCTAGGACATGAAATATATGGAATGTCAGTAGTATTGACATGAGGCGGACATCCAGGTAACACCCCTTACCCCTCCTTTTTCGCCCACTCCCCGCACCCCTCTCCCAACTACGGCCTCGCCTTTGCACTTGGACTCGACGTGACACGGCCGGTGCTCTACGACAGACCATGGATGTTTCACTCGAAGACGGCATTCCCAAGGGTTTCCACCCCATGGATGTCGGGCCCCAGACAACCGCTGCTTTCCGGGTATGTGTGCATGTTTATCATGAGACCGTGTGTATGCTCATGTGTGCATGCTCACTCCACAACGTTTGTTTTTCGTTCCGCTAGGGTAAACGATGACCGGCTGCTACTGTAATGTGTAGATGTTCTTCGTCTGAGGGAGGGTCTCGAATTTATGTCTGCCTCCACTCTCGCTGACATGTAAGCAGTGGACACGACAGGTTCGCTGTGTTGGTCTCTCCTTCTGAGTGCATTCGTCGTGGGACAATTGGACCGATGTGTTCATCTACTCGGCACTTCTCTTTCGTCAAGTTGCCATCGCCTCTGCCCTCTCCGAACGCTGCATATCGACCCCCGGAGGAACCTCTTCCTCGACCACGGGCGGACAAGCCGAATCAACAATCCTGATGCCCTCCTTTCAGTCAAGGCTGCCTAAAACCCGAGCAGCCGGTCGCTCTCCCTCTCCAACGTTGTACCCACCAGCCAGCTCGCGCGGTAGTGTGAAGGTCTAGCCCTAGATACTTCGCAGCCAAGATGAAAGCACAACTAGACGCAGGAGCAACTCGAACCAGCAAAGTGTGCGGTGGTGGAGCAAAAGGAAAGACGTTTTACACGAGGCCAGCCGTACACTCCACCTCATCCGACAAGACTCTCAATATCCCCGACCCGCCTCAAAACAGTCGAACTCCCAAAAATGCTTCGCCCTGACAACGTACTTTTTTGTGCAACCTGCAGGACGCCGTCGGCCGCGCGCGAGCGGTGCTCTGGCATGGCATGCTCGGTGTGGCGGAGTGCTCGGCCTTCCAGTTCGGGACGAGGGACGTGTTGGAGGCCGCAATATCTGCCCACGACAACGACGAGATGCGGGAGGCGGGGACGTCACCGGTCGTGATCTTGTGCGGGAGGTAAGACGCAATGACGAGCGCTGTAAGGAACGAGGGACGGGAGGGCGAAAAGGGGGGCGGTGGAGAGAGAGGTTCCCCATGTCAACCAACAACACTTAGGCATCGGGCTACGGAACGAGCAATCCTAATAAAACTGTAATCGGATGGAGTCCGGGTTGGAATCTCACAGTCTCATGGAAGATCGGCCCAAATTGTGTCGGTACGTATTCTCGAGACCGTAAGGGTCTGGGACATACCGTTCATTTTGCGACGTTCGACGCATCTGTACCCATTTCTGTCTGTCTGTCTCTCTGCCAGTCTGTCTCTCTCTCTCTCCCCCTCGCCGACACCCTCTCCCCATCCCTAATCACCCCACCCCCAACCCCAACCCGCGCGCCTCATCAACGATCTCGAACCATTTTCTTTGTTCTTATACCCCGCGAACAGGTCTCTCGGAGAATGGGCCGGCCGCTTCGCTGAGGGGGACGAGGGCGACGGCGACGATGTTCCTCCCCTGGGGTCGGGGTCGGGCGTGTCTCACGTAAGGATATCTCCTGCATCGCCATTTTGAGTTTCACGGGGCGGAGAGAGCCTTTCGTCAACTTGTTCCAAAGTGGAAATGTTGATGGCAACCTACGGTCGTACCTTGAAACACTTGGGCTCCCCATTCCATTCCTTGCCCTTGAGCATGTTGAGGCGGTTCCTTTTCTGCCCTACGTTGCGTGAGTGCGCTGGTTTTTAGAACGGTAGCAATCAATAACTCCGGGCGAGGGCAAAAGGGTGTCGTCCCGATCTTCATGCCGCTGCGACAGTGGCACTCATCATCAGAGGTTTGTACAGGGCATGGACCAAGCCACACTTCCCGCAACCAATCTGTTGTTGTCGTTGCTGGTGCTGGTGCTGGTGCTGGTGCTGGTGTTGTTGTTGTTGTTGTTGTTGTCGTTTCGACGGCACCACCACCGTATTCGCATCGCGGTGTTTGATTGGTTGCTGTTCCTGTTATTTGCGGCTCCGCACAGCGGTTTCGCTCTCTGCGACCTTCCACCGCCGTCATACAATCCCCATCCACAACACCACCCCGTGTGACGATGACGGCAGATATGCACAGATCCCGTGTTGTGTTCGAGGGTGCTGGAGGGAAGGATAGTTCCAGGGCTGTCGCAGCTGAGCGAAAGGGACCCGCCCCCGGGAGACGCAAACCTCGGCAACGTAAGAAGGCCGCCGATGAATACTCCGAAGTGTTGACGAAAATTCGTGCCCTCAGACCAGTAGTAGTATGGCGACCTCTGTTTGTAAACAATCGAAATGGAGGAGGTCCGCCCCATGCGGCACTTACTTCGCTTCTATTTTGCGCAGTTGGCCGAGGAAACAGCCTGAGTGGTGGTGGGGATTTTCCCGATTATAATCTCCCCCGAGGCTCTCACCCTGTGGTTGCGTGGAGAGGGAAGGATTATTTGATGTCGCCCAGGTTTTTTGCACCGGAGTTTGCCCCCGTCAATATTACACGCTGCTGTAGCGTGGGAGCAAGCTACATTGGTCTACTGTGCTGTCTTTTCGCGATGAGAAAAAAACGTCGCATTTTTCTATCGTTCACCGTTTGGAACAATAACCAACAGTTCAACCTGTGTATGGCGACGGTGGCAATAATGTAGAGCTCCGTCGCGGGCCATTCGACACGCTGCTACCCGCCCCAGCGCCCGGTCCATTCGTTTGGAGCAGAAATGATACCCTCGTGATAGTGCAACCAGACATCTCAACCTCAACCGCCCCTTCCTGGCCGTGCTCCTATATGCTTCCTTGCCACCACCTCGTACCTATAGTCGTCGGTCCGAAAACGAACATATGTAGCATGCTCTCGGTATCTGCGCGCCGCCGCCGGATTCCGCTCGTTCCCTCTCGCATCCCGTTCTCGCCAAGCACGAAAAGGTTGCTGCCATCAACTTGTTCTACCTCGCGGCTTCTCAGTCGCGGGAGTATTCAAAGTCTCGCTAATCCCCCTGTTCCGCCAACTGCGTGTTCGGTTGCCATCATCGCAGGTGTTGAGGAGAGGACCGTTCGGGGAAGAAGATGAGGACGACGACGACGAGGATGGGAGTACCGATGCGGGCTCCTCCAGTTCTTGAATTTGTCAAGTCTTTGGTCATGAGCTCTGCTCGGGTTTGATTTTTACTCACCCATCTTTGGGGAGCTGTCTGTAAGTGGTGCACACATCGGCATCGAAATATTTAGGTTCGTCGAGTCGGTTTTTTTCGAGATACCAGGGGCGATATCGGCGTAGTAGGTCCCAACCTCTACGTACAGTCCCGTAAATCTGAGACTTTTGCATCCCGGGCTAGTCCCAGGAATGCTGCTTTACTTCTGACCGCCATTTCTTCCTAAATATGACATGGAGCCAACCCCTAGCCAGAAGCTGTACAATAAACATGCGTTTGAGTACTACGAGGAGATGTGTTCGTTGGGGGGGGGGGGGGGGCGGAAGGGTTCGTTGTTCAGCGTGCGAACTATTCGAGGCGGAAGGAAATATCAAACTACATGAATACTGCTGTTCAGGTTGATATTTGTTTGAGCTTTTCACGCCCCCAATGGGCTCTGTTTGTTCATTTCCTGTTTGCCCGATTTGTACGTACATGTCGCCGGCGACGTCCTGACTGATTGCGTTTCAGACTCTGTTACGATGAAGAAGCAAGTGCCATTTTCTTCTCTGGTTTGTTACTGAATTTTCTACAGATCTCGCGGTTGTTTTTTATTCCTCTGAATCCTTTCTATTTTCTCGGTGTTCGTGGTGTATACGTATCCTATTGGGGTAGTCGGAATCGTATGGATGGTAGAAGGCATTCTGAGGAGAGAACCGCAATGGTGAAGGCAATTAGAACAACATAACGACAGCAGCAGCAACCACAACGCCCCCCCACCTGTTTGTTGTTTGTTTTCCATGTCCATCATCATCAGCAGTCAGATGCTTTTTGCGCGGAGCCTCATCTCACAACTAACGATTGATTCTCGCGTGTGTACACATCAGACCTGCGATGTGTTACACTTTGTTTTCCTGCCCCCTGGCGTGAAGTGATGATCAGTTGGGCAACAAACTTGAGCTGCCCTATATGCCGCTACACGTACCGGTTGATCAACCAACCCAACGAGACCGACCGAGTGTTTTTTTTCGAGGATGGATCCAACTTGGAGGATCTTCTGTGTCTCGATATGATGGGGTAGTTACTCACAGAACGCAGGTAGGCGAATAAATGCGCTCACCTCTGCAAAATATTGGCGGACTGACCATATCGCATACAAGAAGGGGACATCAATATTACAACGGTACACAGAGGGGAGGGACGTCAGTCATGTCTGCAACGCGACTTGTGAAACTTGAAACCATAAAAAAAAAAAAACTGAAAGCGGTGTGTCGATGCGTTTCCGTCGGTCTCTCTTTTTTTTTTTGAGAAAGATCATGCTGCATGTGCGCGCGTGCCCCCCTGCAAAACGCTGCCCTGCACACCTGCACCCACTCGCTCACTTCACCTTCATCCTCTCTCTACACATCTCTTCTCTACACCACCAACCTCAAAGATCATGCCTTCCATGAAGTCCGCTGTTGTGGCTGGTGCCTTCGCCGCCGGCGCCCAGGCCTTCGTGGCCCCGAGGTAAGAGCCCTCGCCCTTGAGGATGGTTGACACGCGACACGCGACCAACTACAGAGAAAATCGTGGTTGAATGATGAGTGCGTGTTGGAATGCGTGGGAGGATGATGGATTGTTCAACGATGATGGGATGGATGACGGCGAGCCATGTGCCGATCGATGAAGGAACAGGTTGGTTGTGCTACGCGCGCGGCTGGCTGTGCCACCGTCACTGGCTTGCGTTTGTCTTCTGCACGTCCCCTCCGTAGTTTGAACAGCGATCTTGGCGCCAAGTGGCTCCTCTCTCCAGACCAAAGCGGGAACAAAATTAAATGCGCCGCGTTTGTCTCGGCTTGCCCCAGGGCTCCCTGCCTGCTCGCGGCATTGCATCGCTCAGCTATTTAGCGAAGCACAAGTTGGAACCGGCGCGTGAGCGTATCGACTGCTACCCTGGTCACGTGCATATGAGCGCTTCATTACGTGTGCCGGGCTGGCAACTGCTGTTGTCCACCACCTCTTGACAATGGTCTGTAGCCTTCTAGAAGTAATGTATGCGCATGTATGTACAGCAGCAGACAACAACGTGTGGTAGACTTGAAAGTTGCATGCGCATGTTGTGATCTATGCTACAACGATGTACCCTGTTCCAGCGGCAAACCCAACTGCCACCAATCCCTCACTCTCAGCTTCGCGTTACCTGACACATCACCACGGGCATGCAGAGCCTGCTATTGCTATTTACCGCTGAGCGCAATGTTGTTGACACCAAGCTAGCTCCTGCTAGAACTGAGAGGGTACGCTGTCATCGCCAAGTTTGTTGCTTGGTGTTGTTGCTTGGGGAACCTTGCTCTTGGGTGTAGATGGCCAACCTGCGTACCTTGTGTTAGAGGGAGGGAGCGCGACAGCCTCTTTCTTTGTGTACACACGCATAGATGGGTAGATAGGTGAACTCTAAAGCGCCATGAAACGTCTCGGAAAACATAGACATACCCCGACAGAGAACGTAGGGCGAGGCAGGGTTACGCTGATCCGTGTGTGGTGCTGCCTCAACATACATCTGAGACTCTTTCACGCTTTCATGCACATTTTTTCTTGTCCTTTCTCGAACCGCTGATGTTCAATCAGCAGAGTGTGGGGGGTTCTTGGCTCTCTTTGTGGCTATGGACGGTCGTGTTTGGTATTACTACATGAGCATCAAAGTTATAGATGCCCGTGGTGCGTAGATTCACATTTCCTTCGTATCTTCTTCTCTGTTGCACCATGAGGAAAAAAACCGGTTGCACACTTGTAGTTTCAAATGTGATGACGTGTCCCTTCCGTTGGATTGGCGAAATTTTTGGAGCTGGCTCTCTGTTCTCTTGTTCTTTGGAAGCCCTCACGTGTGTGCACCTGACCTGTGTGCATGTCCAGTATCAAATCAACACAACCGGCCGTACGTGCCACAAGCTTTTCCCCAACAAGCTGTACTTGATGCACAGACATGAATTCTACAAATACATACCAGTACTTTGTGTGAGTTCTGTACACCCAGTCGAACAAAACAAGTCTGAGCGCGTTTTTTTTTGCGTAGTGCCGCTCGTGGCCCGAGATAATGTTTTTTCACAACCGAAGCAGGGGTTCCCAGCAGTCGCAACCAACTCGTCATCCCTGTCCGGCCAGGACCACGAATTACGTGCCACATCGGGATTTTTTCGTGACTTCCGACTGTTTTTTTTTTTTCTCTGCGCTCTGTTCGTTTTTTTTTTTGTGTCACCGCAGTATGAAGTCGGTCAGTACACGCCTTTTTTGAGCAAAATAGTTCCTGTAACTGACCGGTTGCTTACACCCCCCTCCCCCCCTGGCCTCTACCCCAGCGCCTTCAACGGTGCCGCCCTCACCACCGCGGCCAAGTCGTCCTCGGCCATGAAGATGTCCTTCGAGTCCGAGATCGGCGCGCAGCCCCCCCTCGGATTCTGGGACCCGCTCGGCCTCCTCGAGGACGCGGACCAGGAGCGGTTCGAGCGCCTCCGCTACGTGGAGGTGAAGCACGGCCGCATTGCTATGCTCGCCATCGCCGGCCACCTGACCCAGCAGAACACCCGCCTCCCCGGCATGCTCTCCAACTCGGCCAACCTGTCCTTCGCCGACATGCCCAACGGTGTGGCCGCCCTCTCCAAGATCCCCCCGGCGGGCCTCGCCCAGATCTTCGCGTTCATCGGCTTCCTCGAGCTGGCCGTGATGAAGAACGTGGAGGGCTCCTTCCCCGGTGACTTCACCCTCGGCGGCAACCCCTTCGGGTCCTCGTGGGACGCCATGTCCGAGGAGACCCAGGCCTCCAAGCGCGCGATCGAGCTCAACAACGGCCGCGCCGCGCAGATGGGCATCCTCGCCCTCATGGTGCACGAGGAGCTCAACAACAAGCCGTACGTCATCAACGACCTCCTCGGCGCGGGCTACACCTTCAACTAAGCTACGATGGACACGTTTTTCGGACTTTTCACTGCCGCGACCACCCCTTGTGCAGCTTGTTGGGGTTGTTGTTAATTTCTGTCCCAGTTTGTTAAGGGAGTGCGGTTAGCGGCATTTTGTTTTAGTCCACTTTTTTTTTAGAGACTGACTTCCGCGTTTTGGTCGAAACAATTAAAAGGCGGGAGGAGTTCTTCTGTCCTCTTGTCGTTTTTCACATGCTTCGCTGGCGGCACGCCCGCGCTGCGTGTTTTTTAAGATGACGCGCAACAATGTATTGTGTGTTTTTTCGGCCCCACTGCTGTGTTACGCCGTTATTTTTTGTCGGCTGGGTGGGTTCTGGGGCGCGTGGTTGGCGAAATTGAGTGAGGGCGTCCCTATTCGCGACCCCGCTCTCCTGTGTAGGTTTGTAGCGGTGTGCCTTCGTGCCCGACTGCAAGCTTGCCTTGCGTAAAAGCGCTTATACGGCCTGACGTGGATTTTTTTATGCTTTGTTTCTGTGTGCGACGAAGCAGAGAATGGTTGTCGGCGGTACGGGGATAGGGAAGAAGCAAGCGCAGAAACCTCACGTGTTGCACGTACCGTTGGTAGCACACGTCGTAGAGAGGATAATCCACGTTTTTACGATGATTCTGGAAATTTCTTGCCTTCTTGCTTTGGGTGAAACCCCACGCAAGAATCTTGACGGACGCCTTCGGGCACGCAGACGGCGGAAAGACCCATTGATATATGGCGGCGTCGCTGTCAATTTTGATGCCAGGTCCTGTTATTTTTCTCTTGGAGGACAGCGAACAACCTGCCATCAAGAAGATGACGTTTTTGTTTCCGCTCTTCGCGCACGCACGCGTCGTTGCTGTCGCTGGTCGTGCCACAAATGGTCCTTGACGACGAATGAATTCGTTGACCAAAGCAAGACACAAACAATCTTGTGCCGACAAAATGGCGCCCCTTGCTTTTTCTTGTGGTTCCCTACTTCAGCCCTCTATACACACCCGAAACAGGGTTCATGTAGATGCACCAAGCACATGTCGGTCGTACATTCTCACTTGATTTGAGTCCGAATTCATTAGTTTTTAGAGTGCGCCGTCACAGGGGGAATATCCCTGGAGGATGCCGAGATTTTGAACCCGGGTTCTCCACCGAAATCAACTTCTATCTGTGTTGGTCCCTTGCTAACGTGAAAAAAAAGATGGAAACAAACGTCCATGTTGAACGTTGATATCTCCACACACCACCGCTCGCTGTGGTTTTAGACTAGTTGTGTTTGGGTGAACGAATGGACTACTTGTGCGTCGTCTAGACAAGAGACGAGCTGGACCCAATACAAATAGAAGCGTGAACCATATGGGGGAAATCACATCGCTTCTTATCATTTCCTCTTATTATTATTGATCCTGCAGATCCTAGTTTTTGTGTCACGACCTGGTGCCAGGCCCCAAGAATGGTCACATTGTCATCATTTCATTGTTGTTTGTTTTGTTGTTGTAAACCGTTCCGATCTCTCTCTAACCAGTACCTTCATATGTATGTCCGTACTGATCCAACACTTTGACGCGGTCGATTCCCGTGGTCACAAACAAACTGGCCCCGAGGGGTCCGCAAGTCAATAGAAATCAACGACAGATGTTCTGGAGTCCTCCGCTCCCTCTGCGCGCTATGCGAGGTAACAACTGAGACTAGGAGTCCGCATCACGGGCCAGAGAGAAAGAGGTACACCCCCTTGGTTCAGTCTTGCTGCTTCACACGCAAGCAGAGACAAGGCCATCTGACACAGAAAAAGAGAGAAAAAAGAGCGACAAAGAGAAAGAAGAGAAAAAGAGAACAAAATTAAAGGAAACAGGAACGGAGACAGGAAGACGCAGGAAGACAGCGCGCGCCCCTCGGGCGGGGTGATGACATGTCCCCGCAGAGACAGACGCCGGTGAGCAAGAGCATTTTTTTTTTTTTTGCGGAGGAATTATCGGGAAGTCCGTGATCCCTCAGGAACACCGAAAAAGATACGATCTTCTCTCTCATCCAATAACCCTGCCTGCACAACCACACCCCAGCTCGGCCATGCCCACCGCACCCACAAGCAATGATCCCGATAAACGACCCTTGGTTGGTCGAGGCGTCAGCGCCGACACAGGATCTCTCGGTGTAAGCTGGATGGGTACGTCGTGCTTGTGCCGGGAAGATGCTGAACGCGAGCTCGCCGCTTTAAGAGCTATACCAATGATACGTCGACAAGGCGAGAGAGTCATGCCTTGTAGTTTGTCTTGGTGGAAAAGTTGAAAGTCACCATATACTGGTCCTTTGAGATTTTTGTTGGCCTCGTCGCTCTCTGTGCGTCGAATCACTCACAGCAATACATACATGCAGCATCATGACGTTCTCTCTCTGTCTCTCTCTGTCTCTCTCTCTCTCTTTCTCTCTCTCTCTCTCTCTCTCTCTCTCTCTCTCTCTCTCTCTGCCCAGCTATCTACGCTACTTCTACAACCGAAGTCTGCCGTGGTTGTCAGGAGTTGACCTTCTACTCCAGAGTAATAATATCTAGGCACATGTATCTAGGCGTCTTGCCTGGATACGTGCCCGACCGATACGTCGGTCACAGCCACGCACCCCTTCTGGTGTGCATACATCCATACATCCATACTCGTGGTGGCTGATTCCCTTTTTGTTCCGTCCCTCTCGCTGTTGTTCAGTCATCATGCCAAAGCCAATAAGGATGAAGGCAACAACGACACCACCCTCACAAGGTCGCGCAGCTAGCACCCGCCGATCTCGTCGACGACCACTCGTCTTGCCCGCCTTCATACCTGCAACAACAGCACGGACACCATCACCAGCGCGTGCCAATCTTCACGGCTGGCGGCGGGGGCTCACCACCGATCAGACGATCGAGGCACTTCAGGCAAGAGAGCACTCGCCCGGAGGTTAGATTTTTACGGCAGCAGTACGTCGTCGGGCGGAGCTGTCGAACAACATATTGCCTCGTTGGTCTGTACTTGTAGTCATTGTCGTTCGCGTCGTCGTCGTTGTCCTTGTAGTCGGTGTCATGTCAAAAACGTTGAAGTTAATATGATATTCTTACCTACTACTCTAAACGCAGGTCCGTGAACCCAACATGCAACAAAAGAAAAGAAATCCAATCCACACATCCATTCAACACCCAGAGAAGTACCAAAACTCGCGACGAAACGACACTTACAAAAAAGCAGAAAAATGAACGGCAAAGTGACCGCGATACATCAGAGAGCCCATTGCTCAATCACTCGGAAGCTCAAAGCAGCCTACATACCGCCCACCAATAGGAGTACTGCTGCTGAGACGTGTCGCCGTCAAGTTGATGCAATCGCTTTCACAGTAGACTGTTACTCCCTCGAACCAAGTACAGCGGTAATAATACACTCGGTGTCTTGATGCATCACCGTTCTTGGTATGCCTTAATTTCAAACGTGTATTGGCAGGAAGAATCCAGAGCTCTTCATCAAGCGCTTTTTCCCAACGGCGGCGGAAGTACAAAACAGCCTGACTACAGGCGCGCAGAGTGCTCGATGGACAACCTGGACGGCCTGGAGAGCGCCCTGTGGGAAGCCCACGGTCGCGAGGCTCGGGCGGCGGTGCTCTTAGAGACACGGAATCTGCGGGTACGTACAATAACCCATGCGGGTGGTGCCAACACGTGTTTCGCGTTAAGGCCCTGCTTGTAGCTGTCCCATGCCTCGTTTTCCCGGTGCAAGACTATGCAAAAAATACAGCAGGTTCGAGAGCTGAAGCATGAAATTGATGCATGAATTGTTTTCCGACGTGGTGACCTCGAGAAGTCGAGCAGGGGCTGGCTGTCGGGCACGCATTTTCTTCTTCCATCCACACGAAGATCCCATGGGAAGTTCATCGTTGTTCTATTCTGCCGCACGGTTCCTTCTATTTCCCTTCCCCTCATTGCTGCCTACCAAACAACACACTCCCTCCTCGCGCCTCCAGCGAACTCACGCGAGTGAGCGAGCGGCCCTCGAGGCCGACCTACAGCGGAGGAGGGAACGACTGGAGGAGGCCTGCAGCAGGCAAGTCCGCACACTTCTGCAGGCGCACAATGAGCAGCTGACACAGGTGGACCCGACAGCCTTTGCCACCGCAGTTGGAGACGGCGGCGGAAGTCGCGAAGACAAAGTGAAACATGATGAGCCGCCGCCTATGACAACGACAGATTCTGTAGAAATACGACCATTGGCAGGGGCGGCGGCACCTGAGGCGGGTACACGGTCGTCAGAGACCATCGGTATTCCTGCTGCTACCCTTCCGACCGTTGCCGAGTGTCTGCAAGAAGCAGGGCGACAAGAAGAAGCACAGACGAAAGACGGTCAGAAGGAGCAAAGGTTCGGACACGAAAGTTTGCCAAGAACTCGTCATGAGAAGTTGCAACTGCCATTCGCCGGGATGGGATCGGCGGCACCGGTGGTGGCGACAGCGGTGACAGGGGCGGTGGTGGTGGATCGTACACGAAGCAACAGGGAACTGGTTGGGCTCAGAAGCGACCTGGGTAGGCACCTTGCAGCGGTGGCGCACGTCGTCGACCGAGGCCGGTACTTGAAGGAAGCCACCAGGGTCATGCGCGAGATAGAGGAACTGGAGGCTCGGGACAAGGTGGAGGTCGGGGTGTGTGTTCGGTTTCGTGTTGTCTGAAAATAATGGAGCTGCTGTGATCGATGAGTAAGGTCCCGCTTCCGAGTATTGTGTGGAGCTCAAGAATACCGACAGCCCGCCAACCGACCTACCGGTTTGTTTACGAGACGCCCGATATATCTACGGGCTAAGGCTCGATCCGTGTTTGGCGCCGCGCTGGAAACTCGTAGGCCAGTCGCCCACAAATGAAGTACACGCGGAACTGTTTAAAGCTTCTCGTCCGTCCTTCTCAACTTCTGACGAGCCGCAGAGAAACTAAATGAGCAATGGTTCATGAAACACGTGCAGCAGGGACCTATTCGATTTAACGGCATCTATAGGCTTGATGGTTGCGCATCGGTGCCACTGGTTTCGAAAAGTGACTACATGGCCTCTGCTATGGCGATCGAACGCAACATGCTCCACAGACCAACGCTCGTGGAGGATTCGGAACAATCAGCCTGGAGAAGGCCACCCTCCTGCAGAAGCAAGCGCAAGCGAAGGAGGTTCAAGCAGACAAACATAATCGGCTGCGGCGGGCTCTCGAGAGCTTGGGAGCCGAGGAGCTTCGCCTCCTGTCCGCCCGACAGAAGGGCTCCCTCGGCCGTCTCGCCGCCCGCAGCCGAGAGGGAACACGCCGCCGGCAGATGGAACTCCGCGGTAAGCTGGCGGTGGTCAAGCGCTCCATCGCGCGCGAGTGGAGAGAACACAACAGAAGCCAGTGCCGCCGCAGTGGTGGCCTGTTGTCTAGTGATGATGTGGATGAGGGCGCCAGTCGGACAAGGAGGGCCGCAACAAGCCGTGGAGGCGGCGGCGGCGGCGGCGGTAGCATGGCGTCTTCAGCGGGTCAACAGCAAGATCCTGTACACGGGAAGAAGCGCGGTGGCGGGGACACGGGAACAGACGTGTCCGATGTCGGCGAGAGAGAGGCCGAGGTAGATATGATAGAGGAAGGGGAAGGAGACGCAGGTATCGAAACGGGAGGCGGCACCGAGAGGGGGGCGGAAGAGGCGGGGGCAGGAACTGGAAAGGCTGAAGGACCAAGCGGAGGAATATCGGCCACAGGCGTTAGCCTCGTACTCTCGGGGAACCACGGGCCGGATCACGTGGAGTGCACCACTGGTAGGCTACCCCTCGATACTGTTGCTGCAGCTGTGGTCCAAGGCAAGTCTGAAAATGGAACCGGAACAGCCCCCGATCTCGAATCCGGCACAAACAAGGCACAAGCTAAAGGTCCGACAGCGGTGCCGGCGACACAGTCAAATCAGCCTCCAGCACCCACCGCGGGGTTCACCAGTAGGGCTAGCAAGGACCGCGGAGAACGGCGGCTGCGAAGAAGACGAAAGCGGGTCGCCGCCCGTGCTGCAGCGGCGTATCTTGTGTCTGCCGCGGACACTTCTTTGCCCAAAGACACTGCTGACGATGCCCTTACTGCTGGTGGTGGGACTTTCGGCGTCCTGAGCGAGGAGGAAGCACAGGCTCTTGCGGCGCTTGGAAGGGGGGCTCCGAGCGATGCCCGTCTGCTGCTTTTGGCATCCTCGCCGTCCCCAGCGCGGGACGGTCGGCAGCAGCGTCAACTTGAGCCGTCATCACGGGCCTACCAAGGCTTAGTGTTGCACGGGGAGAGCGAGCAAACGGCCGAAGTACAACGTGATGGCTTCGAGATCGGTGACTATCATGGCAACGGAGACGTTGGTGATGATTACGTTCTCGGCATTGGGGGCGTGAGCGGCGGCGGCACCACCACCAGTAATAGCACCAAGCGCGGGGGATATTTGGAAGAGGTGTTGGACAGCGCCATGGACAAGCTCGCCAGGGAGATCCAAGCCGAGGAGGACTTGTCGCGTCGGCGACTGGGGATGACCCCAGTGCCATCATGGTGACCAACTGTTTTGCCAGACAACGGCGTGTTCATGGTCGACTCACTCCTTAATGCTAAAAAAGTACCAAAAGTGTACGACAATGGTCGGATTTACTGTAGCTAGCCCTGGTTGGTGGGCGACGTCATCCACCAACCACCCTACATGACTACTTCGTATATCTCAGCGTCCACACCTCGCCAAAGAATCCGCTGTCATGTGAGCGCCAATTTCGGGCCTGATTTTCTTCCGCAGCGCGGGTCTGCACAGCTGAAGTGGCACATACACAAGCACCTCGTCGCGCACGCCATGAGACGTGACAAGAAAAAAAAATCGATGTCAGATAACAGCAGCGTGGAACATGACCGCGACTGCACTTGACACAGACACACATACTAGCTCATGTCGCTGGTATTTTCTTTTTTTTCTCCCATCATTGGACTCTGTCGTCTGCCCCTCTGGCCCCCATCCTCCACTTCTACTAGCTAGACGACCCAACCGGGGTCACATAGGAGGGGGGGGTTGGACCCCCTCCTGCGGTTTCTGCCTGAGATATTTTAATTGCGAGAAGGGTGCAGCAATCCCTTCCCTCGCGACTTATGAAATCGATGTAGTTTACTAACTTGTACCCGAAGGCCCTGGTCTACAAAGGAAAGTGGCCACCCCCCTGCGTGACCCTGGATGGTGCGTCGTAAATGACCCCAATGGTGAAAAGCAATAACATGTTTACGCTAGGGTAGGCGGGATGCCAGCACATTCTTACAACAAACATGAAGCGATATAAATTACAGTAGCCATGCCAGGATACCCGTGGTTTGCCCTTACCATCACCTGTCGTTTGTGGTGATGCGTGACTTTTGCATACATGACCCCACCCCCCTACCCCGCGCATAATCGGAAAAAGAAGACGAGACGAAGCAACCTTGAACGAGCCGTCGAAAGAGTCAGCGCCCAAGAGACGACAATAACCTAACACCGCAAAAAAGAAAAAGCAAGCAAATTTTGCGTAGAGAAACTACGCACAGGAACGTGAATTGAGTACATGATACCGCACATATATGCACATTGAGTTCAAATCCCGGAGGCAAAACTGTGGATACAGAAAGAGGCCTTCCATGCATCTGGAATACCTAAACCCTTCTTACACGAAAATGTCGGTCTCACTTCATCCATCAACCTAACGTACGTACTAGAAACCTCCGACCCGGTGTCACGCACAAGAATGGGGAGATTTCCCGAGATTCCACAGGTCACGCCGCGGCCATTCTCGACGAAACTACGCGCGCAGTGGCGGAGATTCCCTGCTACGTTAACGGACAACAGAAACCAACACGAGCAACAACACCAACAACAACAACAAAAGAAGACTCGCGCGCATCGCTGTCCCACGCAAGCAACAAGACGTGTACAACACCCCCGCCGAGAAAAATTGCGGGCTATGTCGGCCCACTACGTTTTTCAGGCATGGAGCAGTCTTGAAACGCAACAACGATAAACGATGCCAACTCCGTTGGTGTACAACCAAGCTTGTGGTGAGAATTGCAAGAAGATATCCTCGTAGTTAATAAAAGAAAAAAAAAGTTCTGAGTACCATGATCGTGGAAATGGCGGTGGTGTGGCATCACCCTCCCTGGTCGTCGCAGCGAATCCACGGCTCGAGGTTCGTCTTCAAGGCTACCCGCAGGTGCTCGCGGGCGCTCGGGTCCGAAACGATATCCCTGAACAGGCGTGCAACGCAAAAAAGGATAGTAGGCACACAAAAGTGCCACCAAGAACTCAAGCACGACTACAGTAGCACGCAGACGACCAGGCGATAAAAAAATGTACAACCAATCGCGCACACAACACAGAGCATGAAAGAAAGGGTAGAGACGGCAAGCGAAACTAGATGAGAGATGTGGACCGCGGGCGGATAAAGCACCGGTGTTGACTTGACTCGGGACTCAAATCGCCGGCACCTCAAAAGGCCAAAAAGCGAACGAACATAAGGGGGGGGCTTTGACATGATTGTTTTTTTGTTGTTGTGACCCAGTCATGAACGGTCATGATCTCGGGTCATGTCATGACTGAGTCATGGCCGAGTCATGACCCGATCATGATCACGACCATGAGCTAACCCAATAATGTTACCCACCGGAACGTAGTATAGCGATGAACACAGACAGCCTTCTTGAACCCGTGCTCACCTGCACCCCTGGCGAAAGTCATCGAACCGGTCCCAGTCCACGTGTGATCTCCCTAGAAGGCTGTATCAGAAAGGGGGGAAAGGAGGACAAGGGCGGGGGGGCGTCAACTGACAACCATGGTCAGCAAGACACAACCGACATCAGGCCAAGACACGTCAAGACAAACCAAGAAGCAGAGAGAGGGGAGGGGAAGACGGAGAGAAACACAACAACCATAAAAATGGGGTGTATTCAGATAGAAAGGGCCAGGAAAGCAAAACGAAGAGACCTGTAACAAGAAAACGAGCAAAAGCGGCCGTTCAACATACGTATCCATATGCATGCAAAATAATACAAACGTGGTAGAAATGGGACCTCTCGCTAGAAGGCAAGAGGGGGCAGAACATAACAAAAAAACACAAATACCGACGGCATTCTACGAACTGCTATAGCTCACTGGTGGAATGGAGTTGACAGAAACAGGCGCAGAGGAACAGGCAGCCCGCCAATCTCCGCCGTGTTCTGTGAGAAGGTGCTGCAGTAGGAACCCACAAGAAGCTGTACGACATAGAGAACCGTTTGACGCAGTTGGTACGACAGCACACGCGCGTCGATTAGTCTTGGTCATATATTTAAAGTATTGCCGTTGCGACTAAACATATCATTTTTCTCTTATTTTCTGAGCAACATGTGCTGATTCGGCTCAGGAATACGAAGTCAAAATCGCGAAAGATCTGGCCAACGACTGGAGGCTGGGGTCGCGAAAATCGGATGTGAGGTCCAGTCACACGCCGCAGTCACACTCCACCACCCATCACTCCAGAGTGCAATGGAGGCAGGCACACAAGGGACACAGCGCAATCTGACGGATATTGGACTATCTTGACGGCTCTGCATCAGGCGTCGGGACAGGAGGAACGTGATGGCGAGTCATACGGACATGCACGGGTGCCATGGCAAGATGTAAAGCGTGGCTATTGGACAGTTTCTCTCCCCCGCTCTCTCTCGCATCTCCTTCTCCTTATCTCTCCCTCTTCCTGTTTCTCGCTCTCTCCATAGCGTCGCACGAGGGAATGGGGCGCTCACGGCCGACAGTAAGACGCATAATTCTCTTTGTCCTCCCCCAGCGGACAAGATAGAAACGGCCTACAGCATGTATCTTGCTCTTTCATGCTTTAGTGGTGCGCGCTGCTTCGCTTCTTATAGCACTGTTTCAAGACACCACCGCCGTTGCTGCCTGGTGTCATGTTGCTCCTTACCGGGGCCTCAGATAGCAGGGCAAGGTCAATAAGCGGCCCGGCGTTGTTGGAACCCTTGCCCCCTTTGTTGCCGCTGTGGGAGCGGTGGAACTCGTCCCCCTCTACGAACGCCACCTTTCCGCCTTGAGCCACCGTGTGTTCTCCCTGAGAACGGAGGAAGGAAGAAACAAGGAAACGCAAATAAAAGGTACGAAAACAAAGGGCAATATGTGGCAGCCAGGACAACAAGACGCATTCCTCGTCGTGCCAATGTCTGGATTTTTCCTTGCGGGTATTTTCCTCGACAACCTGAGGTAATCTACCAAGAACGGTTCGGGAACGCTCATGCGAACGTTCTGGTGGATCTTTGAAATGGGATGCGTGTCCACGGAAGGCACGCGCCCCAACTTGTGTTCTCTTACGTAATTATTCTAGCTTGCGAGAGTACTCTTGGCTCCGCTTGGAATCTAGAGAGATCTTCGGCGGTGGATGGTAAAGCCGCCCTCATTTCCGGGCCTCTCGACTCGATAGAAGTTGGGGTATGAATACTCATTGGCATTGAATGGTATCCAGAGTCACCAACCATGTGTTCCCCCTGGAAAGAGAGGAGAGGGCGAACACAAACGAGAAAAAAAGAGCTACAAACTTGCCACCAATTCTTAACATACAGAAAAACTCATCTCGAGGCAACACGAGGCCGTAAACCAGGCAAGTGATGAATGCAGCTCTCCCCTCTGCTTTAAATAAGTCTCCATGACTCGAAGTGTGTGGCATCAGACCCACGGGGGGAGCGAGAGGAGCTGCAGGGCAAGAGGAGCTGCAGGCAAAAGGTGTCCACTTGCGCAGACGCAGTCACCCCCCCCCGCCCCCGGACACCAGGCACGTCTTGTTGTTGGGACGAACACAGCCGCGGCGGTCTTGCGACAACGATACACGAGAACGGCGTCTGGAAAACGACTCCACGACAAAAAAAAAAAGTCATCACCTCTTTGAGGAGGTCGATGACCTCGGAGCTATCTGTTCCTAGGAGCCAGACCAAGTCCCCTCGTTCCTTGAACGTCCTGAAGATGTCGAAGTCGGGCCCTTCGTTCGTGCAACACGCAGCAGCGTTGCCAGGAACGCAGGGGCGTGAGGTGAACCACTTAATCATTGGTCCCGGAACAACGCTGATCAAACATTGCCGGTCATGCTGCGAGTAAATTACCGGTGCAATCGCTTGACACAGATTGATGCCTTCTGCGGTACTCCACATGTTAATATTTTCAAGTGGCCGGTGCCTGCTATTTCCGTTTAGAATCGACAGTCCCAAATAGCACATGTCGGCATCCTACAGATGTTCATTTTAATATTTCAAGTGGCCGGTGCCAGCTTATGTTCGTTTGGAATTGATAGTCCCAAATAGCACATGTCGGCATCCCGCAGATGGTCGATGAGTGCCCCGGGGGACTTTATTCGCCGGGGCTGACGAAATTTCTTTGATCCCTCCACAAACCGCCCACGCAAGAACAACAACAACTGCTAAGATCCATTGCACCCTCAAGCAATATTTCCCCCCACACACCGCCTACAAAAATAGTCCAACCGACGGACGGTCCTACCGGGTGTTGGTGCGTACATCGCGGCGACCATCGCCAGCCCCTCTTCGAGCCCCGTCGCGCAAGCGGTGAAGTTCTCTAAGTCCTGTTTCGCATTTTTGTTCGCGTTACTTGTTAAACTTGTGTGTTTCATTGCAATGTACACACGTGGGGCCTTGAAATGCCGATCCCAAAGGTTCACGTGTGTGTATTGATCGCGAGTTGTGATCTGCGGGGGATAGGAGCGTGGATTTCTCGGATGAGCGACACGTACGTCGTATCTTGTGGGCTTTCCTATACTCCTTGCCAGAGTAGTGGAAGGAGAGACCAGTCCGGAAAGGGTTGCCCTAGATTCTACACAAAGTACATTTCCGCCATGCATGCCGACGAAAAAGAGAACGTGTATATAAACAAAAACCAATGAACCCCCCAAACGAAAACGTGACCGTTCTCACCTCTACGAAGGCCCACTCTAATAGAAAGTCAGTTTTCGTACAAAAGACAACGAAAGAATGCCACAAGCTCAAGCAAAGTGATGCGAAACAGCGCCCGCGAAAGAGCAACACTTGAAACGGCTGGAAAAAGGATACAAAAGTGATTCTCTCACCGTGGGGAGGGTCTTGTACCACTCCGCGTGGTAGCTAGGGTTGTCCCCGGTCCGAAGGTGCAAGGAAATGCTCGCGGTCTTGCCGCCCTGTGCGCGTCCACGAAGTGTTTCAAGGATGCATCGCACGTTCAAGAGTGTTTCACGTAGGCATTTACAACGTGGTAACTTACACCACGCAGACGACCACATTCATTTCTTCACCGTTACTGTTTCGATTCCCCCCGGCGGGTTGTCTCTCGCTGCAACACGCTCGCGGCCAATATACGTATGTTTGCCTGTTACGCGTCAAGTTTAGTCAACGTGCGCTCAGGCTTGTTTCGCACACAGGGTAAGTTTCTAGCCCATTTCGTGACCGTGACTCCCAGTTTCTTGTCCCATTTCGTGACCACGGTTCCCACTTTCTACCAACCATATGGCCTTGCCTTCTGAAAAACAAGATCCGGAATCATACACGTGAAGTTTTCCTCTGCTGTGCATAGAACAATACATCCTTGCAAGACGGGTTGGGTGGCGTTGGTGTTCGGCAGTATAATTCAAGTGCAATGTTGTACCCGAAAAAGGGCTCCAAGCACAAGTGGGAACGAAAACCGGGGGGGAACCGCCTTCGCCAACGTTCGAACCCCCTACACCATAGTCGACAGAAGCACTTCGAGGCCAACAGCTATTAGACCCTTGACTAAAAAAAATCTACCAAGCTCCCAGGCCAAAGTGCCGATGAAAGGGAGTGTGAAGGAGAATGCGACAGGACCGCACAAAAGACAACAACCAGAGGTGGCTCACCAGCACCGCTGAGCGCTCCTCGCAGTAGCGCTCCTTGAAGTCCGGCCGAGGTTTGAGCAGGAACCGTAGCTGCACCGATGACGCCAGCAGCGACAGAGAGAAGGAGACAGGGCGAGGGAGAAAAAAGGAAGAGAAACGTTAGGGGGCAAGGATGTAGAGAGGGGAGGAGAGATACAGCACAACAACATGAAGCGGATCATCGGGGGCTAGGAAGTGGGTGGGCGAAGTCCAAAGAGCTGTTGGGAGCCGGGGTGGTTTGCGTTCGGCATACGGTACGGAGGAGCTGGACGGGCCTTCTCGAATCAAGGCTGGTCGGCCCGAGAAATAGCTAAGCAGGTCGTTTTCGAACCAGAAGCTTGGTCCCCGCACATCGGGTGGTTGCCGGGGGACAATTCATATCGAATCGAGGTTGGGCTCTACGTCTGTACTTCACATGAGGCAGAACCAGCCATGTGTTCGGCTACAGAACCAGCCATTCAGGCCAGCATGAAGCAAGTTCATTCACACATGCTGAGCAGGCACACCTGCGGGCAGTTTATTCGAAGCAAGCCTGTCTCAGAATAAGCGTCAGAAACGCCTCCTAAAATGTACAGCAGTTGCTCGATACAGCCCTCGAACTCAATCGCTGCGACACGTCTTGAGGTAAACACGTGCTTGTATGGCGAATATTTTCTTGCAAGATAAGGATGCTTCGGTCTGCAGAACAAAACGTTTATTCTAGCTTCACTATACTAGCAGTGCTGAAGCAAGGTTCACCAACCATGTGTGTCAAACAACAGCAAAACAACTGACGGTGACAGCAGCAGCAACTACAACTGACTGCAACAGCAACAGCAACGGTAACAACTGACTGCAACTTCTCACCGCGCAGGTCCCGAAAACGTCCGGGTCAACGCCCACGTTCAGCTTCCCCAGGGCCCTCGCGACGCTCGGTTGCTTGTTCACCCGCAACAAGTCCATCGGGTTGTGATTGTGAGATTGTACAACCACGACCTGGTCGCCAGTAAAGTAGAGCGTGGGGGGGAGGGGATTTGTCGCTTGCCTAATCAATTTGACCGTTGTCGTTGCGTCTTTCAGTTCACAGTCTGCATATGACGTGAAATGGGCATTTTTCGCGTCCGCCAGTCCTGCACTGTGTATCGTCCCGGGTACAAGGTTTTTCTTTGATGGTAAATTCTGTCTCTGTCTATCTGTCTGTCTGTCTGTCTCCCTCTTTCTCTCTCTCTCTCTCTCTCTCTCTCTCTCTCTCTCTCTCTTTCTCTGCTGCTGTCTCCGTTTGTTTCAGCCCGTCTCTCTGGAACAAAAGTAACGGTCTCCTTTGAGTTGCCTTATTCTCTAGGGATGAAACCAACACTCTGCAACTCTGACCTCCGTCGGACCCCTCTGTCCTCCTTCAAACTTCTATATAACTCTCCTTCGTATTCGGTCCGTCTTCCTTCGTGCATGATGCTCGTTGTGCCTCCGGAGGCCATCGTTACTCTACATCCACGCACGGAAACCCACCACAGCAGTCCCTACAGCATCTGGCAAGAGCCCATACGCAAGGAGATGCCTCCAACCTAAAAACATTCTCTCGGCTAGGAACAAGACCGGTGCTTATCGATCCGTCCAAGACCAGGCTGCGCAAAAGGCAAGCTGCACAACTTCACCCCCCCCCCCCGGTGTTTGCCTTCGGGGTTGGGTTTTCGTCGCTTGGCAACGACGTTGTAAAACAAACCGCCCCCCACGGTGTTTGCCATCGAGGTTGGGGTTTCGTCGCTTGTCAGCGATGTTGTAAAACAAGCCGATCACTTCATGAGCTCGGCAACCAGGTTACTGTTTTTTTTTTTGCCTTTGGTTTTTTTTTTCTGCGGTAACCATGAATGGTGGTCGAGTTGATTATGTTGTGCGGGATCGAGAACCCTCACTCCTCGCAAAGGGGATTTTCGCAACCACGTTGTGTTAAATTGGTCAAGCACCCTCGAGGCAGTTACACAGTGATTACAGCTGTCTCTGGAAGTGAAAGCACCAGAAAATAAATTAAGTCATAAGCAGCTGTCATCCGTACGCAAGGAAGTAAGCACAAGATGCCGAACACCCTTAGCAGGATGCAGCGCACCCTTCATGCGACTCGCCGAATACCTCACGGCGCTTCGCGCTTGGTGATGTGAGAGCCTGGTCCGGTGAGAACCCGGCGTGCTCCGTCCCGGCTTTGTAGGGATGCGAGATCAATGGTCTAACGACTACGGCGTGCACGACCTCCCCCCCTCGCACGCGTTCCCCAAAGTGCAATGTGTTGTCACCTGGGTGTCGTTGGCGTAAATTTCATCCCAGTCTGCAGTGCCCAGGAAGTCGGGCGTCATTCTGCTCTTGTCGCACGGCGTTTTTACGCCGACCTGACCTCATCGAGCACGCGGTTGCGCCAGGGGGTGAGAGACAGAGAGAAAGAGAGCACGGCGTTTGGAGGAAGGGATGGCGGAGGGGACACAGAGGTCGGCATCAAGGAGGCGTAAGTGAGCAGCAACGACGCAAACACCGGGCGAAACACCACCCCGTGTTGAGACTTAGCGCCACTTCACCTCCCTCTACCTGGGCATCCGTGGGAGCACAACACCGCCAAAAAACGCCGGTACTCGAGACAACGACCTCTGGCGCTGAACGGCTCATGCTTGCAAACATTGCGGTGGTCACATCATTAGCAAGGCAAACAACAAGCAACACCCATAGCGCCTCCTTATTGTGTGTTCCTTGGCCAGCACGCTTACACCCTTGTACACTTTCGTTGGTCTGTCGGGTGACTCGCGGTTCGGGGCATGTCGAAAAGAGTGCACCCACAGGGCGTTCTTCTGCACGCTCGGTCTACTACAGTACTTCAACCAGATTGAGTTACGTCCTGGGCGGGGGGGGCGGAGACGCTGCGGCCTGTCACAACGCTGTGGTGTCTGGTGGACAAACTTGTGCTGAAAGATACGTGCGGGCAGCAATGGGATCTGAGCACGAGGATATCCTAAGGAGATTCGTACCTACGGTATCAATTACTCCAGCACGATGGCCGTCCATTGTTTGAAGCAAGTGGTACGCGCGAGGGCAGAGACGCAAGAGAAAAAATGGTGGAAAGGATAACGCCAGAGCCAGCTGGCGGTTTGTTCTGGTAAAACTAGTGCATCTCACTTGGGCGGATAGGGGCAGGGGGGCAGACAGTACGACGCCACACAGGGCGATGGTTGTTTCAAAAGAAGAACAAATGACGATTTATTGCGCAGCGTGAAAGTGGGTATTACGGATATTGGCGTAGATACGTAGCTGGCGGCCAAATTCGATTCTCCACCTCTACATAAGATCGGCACATGTAAGGCGCGTCGAGTTATGCCAAGACGAACAAACGGCTCTGATCACGGATCGAGGGTTGGAGGAGCGAGGTTTCAGCCCCCTCACATCCACATACCCCACACTCAACACTCACCGCATTGGGCATCTGGCACCAAATCTCGGTCTTGAAATTCGAGCTGCTGTCGTAGCCCTCCAGAGAGGAGGGGGAAATGTCCCAGGGCACTCCGCCCGCTTCTAGGAAGTTGTCTGTGTCGTTGCGCGCGCGCCGCCGGGGGGGGGGGGGGGGGGGGGGGGG